ATTGAAAAGGGCAGACACAACAATATACCAGCCAGTCAGAGATTATGTCCTACGTGCAAAGATGGAGTTGAAGACGAATATCATTTTCTGATGACATGCCCCACATACGACGAAGAGAGACGCAAATTAATGCAGATGATCCGATGTAAGACTACTAAAACATTACCCAACACATCTAGAGAGACGTTCCATGTACTTATGTCATGTCCAGACACATTTTCTGTATATATAGGTCAATACATTTATAATGCCATGCAAAAAAGACATCTTAGAATAGCTGTATAAGTAGAGTCACTGAATTTTTTATCAACTACATGTATATAGCATAGCGTTTCGTAGCATTTGTATGTAGAATCTTAACATTCCTGGCAAGTAACTTAGTATACACTGTTTAGTAGCCATAGAACATGTTTAGTATAATTAGGTACAACTGCTCACTGTACCCTTCATGTGTATAGTCTAGCGTAATGTAGAATGTACATGTAGAGTCGAAATATTCTCTAGCCAGTAGCTATTTATAATACTCTGTCAGATACAATGTCCGTTGACCATATATATAGCATTATGTTAGACATATACCAACTAGTAATCCTATTATTTGCCATACATTGTACCCGTGACAATCGTTGTGCAATAAACTTTGACTTGACTTGAATTTGGTCGTGGACAGAGAGTCGACCAGACGCGACAAGACGCGACCAGACGCGACAAGATGAGGCAACTTGTTCTGACCGCGTTTCTGCTGGGTTCTCTGGCGATGGCTTCGGCTTCTGGTAGGTTCACTCTCTGTTTTGCTTAACACTGCACGAAAAGTTGGACTACCAATGGTAGTATGGATATCAGTAAAATCATGTAATGTTTACTGTTAGAACAGGACCAGACTTTACAATGACATTGACTGTCATTGACCAGCGTGATTGTAACACACGGTACTGATTACAAAGTTATGGAAAACTGATGAAGCATTCTTTTGTAGGCGGAAACAATTTTTCAAAATTTCGATTTGAGAACTGACATATTTGATTTAGATTTTACTCGTGTCTATAGTGTTTTCCCGCAGCACTAAGAACATGATAGAATAATCATTCTCGAACGTGAACTTTGTTTCCATAATCGTTGCTCACCTACCAAATATAATTAAGATCAATTCACACATTTATACAGAGTTATGCTGCATGAATACAATCGACAAAAGCACAAGAATTTATCTTTTTAAGTACATCTTACTACTTATCTCCAGATGTCGACGAATGTGCCAGTAACAACGGTGGGTGTGCCCACACGTGCACAAACAGCGTCGGAAGCTTCAGCTGCTCTTGCCGGGCCGGCTACGTGTTGAATGCTGATGGTTTAGCCTGTGATGGTAAGAAGGGGCTACCTTCGCTAAGAAGGTTAATATTTTTTTTCGGCGGTGTTGTGTCTGTGAACAACATAGCTCGGAAAGTCAAAGACGGGTCTTCGATCTTAAACGTATAAATGTGTACAAATGGGTAAACATGTATAACTCGTGAACCGGAAGGGTTAACACCATTTGGCGAAGGTATGAGATCGCGGAACTCTTGTTTTGATAGAATAACCATTGAATTGAACTGAAAATGATGATGAGGAAAGAGACTCTTTTTACACAACCAAGGGTTTTATTCACAGCAGACGTTTCGGCGACCATGTGTCACCTTCATCACGGCAATGTGAACCAGTCAGAATTGCCCTGAGGAAGGTGACAGACGGTCACCGAAACGTCGGCTGTGAATAAAACCCTTGGCTGTGTAAAAAGAGTCTCTTTAATCAGTGACTTACCAACCTGATGAAACTATTCACGAAAGAAAATGATGATGTTTGTGTTATACTGGTCGTGGCGTCGGTGGTGCAACGGTTAGAGCGTTGGACTCGGAACCGAGAGGTCCCGAGTTCGATACTCACCGTGGCCCGACGTTGTGCCCTTGGAAAAGGCACTTTACATGACTTCCCCACCATGTACGGTGGAGTGACGCCCACCGAGCCTCTTAGTCTAATTGTCTAATGGGTGCCAAAAACACACTACGGATTTGGTGCGCCAATCAGCACATTTGCGACCAAGAGCCATTAATTTTTGTGTGTGTGTCACAGAAAACCCCGGTCTCGAACCTGCCAGCAATTTCGGGGACTACCAGGGCTACAGGATCTGGTCGTCCGACCGTCACCAGCGTCTGTCCTACTCAGACGCCCGGGACGTCTGCCGAATTAACGGGGGCACACTGGTGATGATCAAGGACAGCGCCAAACAAACCTTCATCGTGGACCACCTGAAGAAGGAGAGTACGCAAGGCGGCCGAGCAAGGTAAACTGTTTGTTTGTTTGTTTGTTTGTTTGTTTGTTTGTTTGTTTATGAAGTTACCATTAGTGATAAAGGCAGACCAGAAAGGTAAGCCTGGAGAAACAGGTAAACTGTTTGTTTGTTTGTTTGTTTGTTTATGAAGCTACCATTAGTGATAAAGGCAGACCAGAAAGGTAAACCTGGAGAAACAGGTAAACTGTTTGTTTGTTTGTTTGTTTGTTCGTTTGTTTGTTTGTTTGTTTGTTTGTTTGTTTATAAAGCCACCCTTAGTGATAAAGGCAGACCAGAAAGTTAAACCTGGAGAAACAGTGCAATAGAAAGCTTTCAGTGCATTAGAACATGAGCACTACCTTTTTTTAACTTAGTGGTCGCCACGTAACACGGCCGTTAGGCCACTTCAAGGTGAACGGTTGTACCACCTGAATGGTATCACCACTCACCTGGGTTACGGGTTACCGAGTAGAACTGTAACAGCAACTCTTCTCCCTGAGTCAAAAACATCATGATTGAGACCAGCCCAATTTCTCACAAGTAGCGAGGACTAACTGACCCAATAGGAAAAGCAGGGGTTACGAGGCTGGTCGGGAAAATTCGCTACCCCATACCCTACCTAATTAAACACTAGCTTATGAGAGCCCTTTCTTTTCTGTGTTTGTATCTCCATATTGCAGAAAAGTGTAGTACTATGAAAAAAGATTTTTGCTTCAGGAGGTTCTGGATTGGCCTGGACGACCTTAACGACGAGAACGTTTTCCTCTGGAACGACGGAACACCTCTGGGAGCTTTTGACAGCTTCCAGTCCACGGCTCCGCACACGATCAGGGACTGTGTGACTCTGAGCAAGAAAGCTAGGCGGGCCCCTCGCTGGGACATCAAACCATGCACCAACAGCTACTCGTACATCTGCCAAATGGGTAAGCAAGAAATGGCACGTTTGTGTGTCTGTGTGTGTGTGTGTGTGTGTGTTTGTGTTTGTGCGCGCGCAGGTCTGTCTGTGTGTGTGTTTGTGTGTGTGTGCGGCTTCACGCTTGTGCTTGTGTGTGTCGGGAAGACGAAGTGTGTGTGTTTGTGTGTGCACCAACAGCTACCCGTACATCTGCCAACTGGGTAAGCAAAAAATGGCCGAAGTAAAACGTTTGTGTGTGTGTGTGCGCGCGCAGGTCTGTGTGTGTGTGTGTGTGTGTGCATGCACGTGTGTGTATTTGTGTTTGTGTGCGTGCGTGCGTGTGTGTGCGTGCGTGTGTGTGTGTGTGTGTGTTTGTGTGCGTGCGTGCGTGTGTGTGTCTGTGTGTTTCTTTCTCTGACAATAATGTGTTAATTCTTGCCACCGTCCTTATCTAGACTTTGACGCCTGCCTGTCCAATCCGTGTGATGTGAACGCCGTGTGTACAGACAACCCCGCCCCTGCACTTGACGCCACTTGTACCTGTAAAGCTGGATATGAGGGAGACGGAACTTCGTGTTCAGGTACGCTGCATTGCGTTGTGTCGTGTCGTGGCGTGTCATGTGGCCTACCCCTTCGTGGCGTCGGGTGGCGTAGTGGTAGATCATTCGACTGTGAACCGGGGAGACTCGGGTTCGATCCCGAGTCGTACCCGGGACATGTCTGGACATGCACGCCGACGTTGTGCCCTTGGGAAAGGCACTTTACACGGCTTTCCTCACTCTACCCAGGTGTGAATGGGTACCTAACTTCGGTTGGGGAAAGTCGTATTGAGGTCACCTTGTGGCGCCGAATGGCAGTCGCACAGACCCTTGCGACAGTTCCACAAAAGTGTTAGTGGAACAAATATGTATCATGTGTATTATTATGTATTACCATTTGTATCATGTGATTGTAAACCCTGCATTAATTCAGCACTATAAGGCTGCGATTGCACGGGTGATGTTTGGCCAATAAACCTTTTAAAAACGGTAGCGTGTTCGGCTTGGAACCAAGAGGTCCCGGGTTTCAATCCTGCCGTGCCACTGATCCTGTTCCCTTGGGAAAGGCACTTTACACGACTTTCCTAACTTCACTCAGGTGTAGATGAGTACCTATCTTCTGTTAGGGACGTCCTCTCGGATAGGACGTAAAGCCGGAGGTCCATTGTTCGGGAGAGCTACACCTTGTGCATAGTAAAGAAAGATCCCACCACCCTTATCGAAAAGAGCTGGAGGGTCCTACCCGGCGTGAGAGGTCCAATCCTTGCAATCTGGTCTCAGGTTTGACATCTTGAAGAGGTGATGATGAAGAAAGTAGAATATTCTCCCAGATGCCGCACTGATAGCAGACAGCGGCAGAACATGACAACACAGGTGATTTAGACAGATAGTTTTATCTTTTCTTTCCCTGACATTAATGTGTTAATTCTTTCCACTGTAATTTTCTAGACATGACGCCTGCCTGGTCAATCCGTGTGATGTGAACGCCATGTGTACAGACAACCCCGCCCCTGCACTTGACGCCACTTGTACCTGTAACGCTGGATATGAGGGAGACGGAATTTCGTGTTCAGGTACGCTGCATTTCGTTGTGTCGTGCCGTGTGGTCTAACGGTAGAGTGTTCGACTTGGAACCAAGAGGTCCCGGGTTTCAATCCTGCCGTGTCACTGATCCTGTTCCCTTGGGACACTTTACACGACTTTCCTCACTTCACTAAGGTGTAAATGAATACCTAGCTTCGGTTAGGGACGTCCTCTCGGATAGGACGTAAAGCCAGAGGTCCAGTGTTCGGGAGAGCCACACCTTGAGCATGGTAAAGAAAGATCCCACCACACTTATCTAAAAGAGCTGAAGGGTTCTAAGAATATTCTCCACATAGCAGACAGTGACAGAACGTGACAACACAGGTGATTTAGACAGTTTTTAATTTTTTTCTTTCCCTGACATTAATGTGTTAATTCTTGCCACCGTCTTTATCTAGACATTGACGCCTGCCTGTCCACTTCGTGTGATGTGAACGCCGTGTGTACAGACAACCCCGCCCCTGCACTTGACGCCACTTGTAACTGTAACGCTGGATATGAGGGAGACGGAACTTCGTGTTCAGGTACGCTGCATTGCGTTGTGTCGTGTCGTGGCGTGTCATGTTGCCTACCCCTTCGTGGCGTCGGGTGGCGTAGTGGTAGATCATTCGACTGTGAACCGGGGAGACTCGGGTTCGATCCCGAGTCGTACCCGGGACATGTCTGGACATGCACCCCGACGTTGTGCCCTTGGGAAAGGCACTTTACACGGCTTTCCTCACTCTACCCAGGTGTGAATGGGTACCTAACTTCGGTTGGGGAAAGTCGTATTGAGGTCACCTTGTGGCGCCGAATGGCAGTCGCACAGACCCTTGCGACAGTTCCACAAAAATGTGGGTGGAACAAATATGTATCATGTGTATTATTATGTATTACCATTTGTATC